CACACACACACACCTAACTCTGGGCAACGTGGCGAGTCCTTATCCATTCAGACTGTCGGAGTTCGACCTCCTGATGAGTCGGTTGAAGTCCGACGAAAGTCACGACACAGTCTGGCAGAGTCATGATTTTTTTGGGTGGAGTTGTGAATAGCGAACAACACAACACACACACACACAGAGCGTTGCAACGAACTTAGGCAGAACACATAGATCGGGGATATGGCACAGAGAGAAAGAGAGAGAGAGAGAGAGAGAGAGAGAGAGAGAGAGAGAGAGAGAGAGAGAGAGAGAGATCCGCGCAGATGGAAGAAGGCTCATTTCCAACGGGAGAGTCATTACGAGGACTGGCAAAGAGATCAGGCATGCCCTGAGAACACTCACCACAGCTGGCCTGCTGGTTACAGGCAAGGACAAAAAAAAAAAAAGGAGGTTCATGGCAGGAGATAATTATAATCACACCATTCTTGGCAGGAATGGCCCTCGCTCTACTACACAGCACTCTACAAGAGTCTACATGCATGTGGACGCTTTCCGGACCCATTATCCCCATACATTCAAAATGTTGTATTCGTCCAAATGCATCTGGTCCAGAAAGATGCCAAATGCATGTAGAGTTTTGTGTAGTGAAGCGAGGCCCAATGTCTAGATGTAGGGGGATGTGCGAACTGGGGGAATGAAGAACTGCGCTCTAAGTACCTTGCCACCGAAATTACCCCTTCCTCTCTCACCCCCCCAACCCCTCCCCTGGCCCCCCCAATATGTGTGGCTCCCACAGATGATGGTTTCGATCTGCAGCCTGAGGGGCAGTTTGCACTGGTGCTACGTTTTTCATGCTTGGAAGTAGGAACCTGGGCGTAATAACGGCCAGGTTCATGCTTTTAGAAGATGAACATAGCACCAATGGTGGGAACTGCGTCTAACTTCCCCGAGAATCTACCTCTCTCCCCCGGCTCCCCCTCCCTCCTCTCCCAACCCTCCCCATCTCCCTCCTGCCGCGAACCCAAAGTTACGTTCTTTGGTTTCCTTTTCTTTTCCGAAAGCAGAAGCCAAGTTGGAAATGTAATATATTATATTATACATTATATACATATACATATCGTCAAACATATATCGTCGGACAAAGCTGCCCGGTAAACCGTAGGCTATAATATAATTTACATATATATTATATATCGTCAAACAGAGCTGCCCGGTAAACCGTAGGCTATAATATATAGAGAAAGAGAGTCAAACTGATCTGCCCGGTAAACCGTAGGCAGAGAGGGAGAAGAGGACAACAAACGAGGTTTGCTGTGACAAACTGTTTCGTCGGAGTTTCACCTACTATATATCATAATATAATTGACGATATGTATATCGTCAAACATATAATATTATATTTCATAAATCAAACAGATCTGCCCGGTAAACCGTAGGCAGAGAGGGAGAAGAGGACAACAAACTAGCGGCTGTGACAAACTGTTTCGTCGGAGTTTCACCGACTCATCAATAAGTAGAGGCTGAACCCTCAACAGTCTGCATAATCCCCTATTAACTGATTACACTGTAAGTGACAATCCACCTTAACACCCGTTGTGGCTACGCATCAACGACTGCCCGGCGACAACTGATACCCTTCCGAGGTGGTGGGGAAAATCAAAGCAGATCATCACTCACCGACACCAGTCTGCAGAATCCCCTAACTGTTTACACTGTAAGTGACAATCCATACCTTAACCCCCGTTGTGGTTACGCATCAACGACTGCCCGACAACTGATTACCCTCTGAGGTGGTGGGGACCACCAACCACTGCCCTCAAGGTACCTGTGACGACAATCAAAGCATACTATCTATCACTCACCCACACCAGATGGAAAACTCTACAGACTGTCGGTTCACACCCCATCACAAGCAACAACCAAGCAAATCCCCACCAAACAAAGAAAGGTCTGTCACAGACAAAAACATACACTCCTAAACACGCTGCTGGCACTAGAGGCACAGCAAGGGCGCGTAATGAAGAGCCCGATATATGTACATATCGCCAACAGAGCTGCCCGGCTGCCCGGTATATATTTATATGTAATCCAAGTGGAGGTCGGGGTTCTCTCCTAGTCTGAACGCAGAACTCATACGGAAAAGGTGGTGCTTTTGTTTTTTTCCCGTGGACCATTTTTCTATGTGCCCGTGTCATTCTTAATTGCATAGGTATAGGTACAAACAATCCATGCCCATAGATCTTTCTTTCTTTTTTTTTTCTTAATGCGAGTTGATTTTTTTTTATTTTTATTTTTTTGCCACTTGATCTTCTCTGTGTACCACTCCAATCTTCGCGGGTCCCGAAGGATAGGTGCTCTTTTTTTTTTTTTTTGCATGGTAATTCATATTTTTTTAATGGTGATTCAGATTTTTTTTTCTTTTTTTTATTCGGGAGAGCTATTTTATTTCCATCTTTCTTTTTTCTTTTTTTTCTTTTCCAGGGGTCCATCAGAACTGGCGGTTCAGAAAAGAAAAAACGACAAACAGACAGAAAAAAAAAAAAACCAAGGGACTAGAGGTTAGGTCTGCTTATCAACAGCTCATTGGAGACGAGCACCATTCAGCTAGATGGGCTGGACTTGCCTGTTCACTCTTACTCAACTTCCTGGACTTCATAAAACGCACTTAGTCTACCAAATGCGAAAAATAAGGCGGACGCCCCCCCCACCCACACCCAAAAAAAAAAACAAAAAACGAAAGGGGGGTGAGGAATGCTCTCAGTACATTCTTTTCCGGGTTGAATTGCAGTGACCCCGGGCTAATCTATATTCATGTTGAATATAAGAAGGATCTAGGCTACCGGCCCGGCCGCCCGGTTCACCTTGTTTTCCTGGGCGGCCCGGCCGTGCAAGGACCAGGGAAGGTTTCCCTCCCCCACGCCCACCCCCCCCAAAAAAAAAGAAAAAAAAGAAAAAAAAAGAAAAAAAAAGAAAACAAAAGAAAAAGGAAACGAAAAAGAACTATGTTATGCAGAAAAATAAACTAAACAACTTTTGCCTCAGGGTCACATCGAAATTCTTTAACAAAAAAAAAAAAAGTGAACAATGTTTTTTTTTTCCTAGTTTTTTCTTTTTTTTTTGCCCGGGCCACTCTGGTAGCCTAAAGAAGGAAACTTAATTTGCCTGACGGTCACATTGAATTTGTGAAAAAGAAAGTTAAAACAGTATAAAACTTTTAAAAAAAATAAAAATAAATGGCGGGGTAGTCTGTCCACATTGTAGGGGTAGATACATTCTCATTTCGCACAGTGTTGGTAACTGGTTCGGTGTATCTGGCCATAATCGGACGATCACGCGAAGCCGGGGGGATATATTAGCAGACTGAGTGACGCAGTCCTAACGATTGAATCATATACTACTTTGGGCATATTTAACTTCGACGTACCTGGCCGCAATTTCGGCGTTTTCTGAACCGAAATCGTCAGGTGCTACAGGCGGAAACCCGGTAAGCCCTGACGATTTCGGCTAAAAAAAAAAAGGCCGAAATTGCGGCCAGGTACGTCGAAGTGAAACGCCAAAAAAAAAAAAAAAAAAAAAAAAGTGCTTTAGCACCCAAGGAGTAATCATCACCATCAGAATGAATCAACGTAAGGAGTTCAATCCCGCTGCGGCGCTGCCACAACGGAGTCCTTTTTTTTCCTAATTCTTTTTTTTTTTCAATGCAATCGTATCCACAAGGGGACCTCCCTTTCATAACATCACGGTGGGATACGATAAACAGGTCGATGAAGAAGAAGGAAAGGACAGGAGGACGAGAGAAACGCAAAGAATCTGACGAGAAAAGAAGAGAAGACATGGAGAAGAGAGAGAGAGAAGAGTGAAAGAGAAGAGAGAGAAGAGAGAGAGAGAGAGAGAGAGAGAGAGAGAGAGAGAGAGAGAGAGAGAGAGAGAGATGGGGAAGAGGAGAAGGGAGAGAAGAGGAGAAGAGAAGGGGAGAAGAGAAGAAGAGAAGAAGAGAAGAGAGGAGGGCTGCGGGGTAAAACCGAAGGAGGAGAGGGGAGTGAAAACTCTCTCTCTCTCTCTCTCTCTCTCTCTCTCTCTCTCTCTCTCTCTCTCTCTCTCTCTCTCTCTCTCTCTCTCTCTCTCTGTGGAGAAGAGATGGAGAAGAGGAGGAGGAGAAAAGGAGAGGAGAAGGGGAGAAGAGGAGAAAAGGGAGAAGGAGAGAAGAGGAGAGGAGGGATGCGATGTAAAACCGACGGAGGAGAGGGGAGTGAAAAACGGAGGGAGAGAGAAACGGAAAAAAAAGGAAAGGAGGAAAGGAGGAAAGGAGGAGAATGGAAAGGTGAAAGCACCGAAGGAAGCAATGAGAGAAAAAAGGGAAAAGCTCTTCGAGACATCCGTTATAATTAAAAGGATGCATTTTCCAAAAAAAAAAAAACAAAAAAAAAACGATGCACAGAGAAGATGAGCATGACCTCTGCGCATTGAAGAGGGATAATAACACACAGATCGGGAAAAAGGGAAAACGATAACGAGAGAGGAAAGAGAGGGAAATGGGGGATAACAGGAAAGGAGGGATTCCGAGGGAAAGAGAAGGCGGAGGAAAAGGGCAAAGCGAGAAAGAAATGGGAGGCACACCAGGCACAGAATCACTCCAAAGCAGGCTTGAAAAAAATATATAAATATATAAAATTAAAAAACCACCTTACGGTCGCAGCCTCGCAGGGTTTCCAGAGCAATGCAGGCGCAGAGACACAGACAGAGTGACAGACAGACAGATGGATAGTAGACACCGATAGACAGACAGACAAACAGACAACGAGGACAAAACAGGAGAGGGAGGAAATGAAAGAGAGAGAGAGAGAGAGAGAGAGAGAGAGAGAGAACAGGACAAAACAGGAAAGAGAGGACATGGGAAGGGGAAACTAGGGACGAATGAGGACAAAACAGGAAAGGGAGAAAATGGAAAACGGAGAAGAGGGAGGAAAGAGGACAAAACAGGAAAGAGGAAAAATAGGAAAGGGAGAGGAGGGAGGACAAAAGAGAACAAAACAGGAAAGGGATAAAATAGGAAAGGGAGAGGAGTGAGGAAAAGAGGATGAAACAGGGAAGCGATCAAGGGTGAGCACAAAATCGGACCTAGCAGGATTGGAAATTCCCTTGCGGTTGCAGCGCTTTCAGACACTCTCACACACACACACACACACACACACACACACACAGAGAGAGAGAGAGAGAGAGAGAGAGAGAGAGAGAGAGAGAGAGACAGAGAATAGCTGACCTCCCAACGATGACCTTGCGGTTGCAGTGCTTTCAGACACTTACAGAGACACACACACACACACACACACACACAGAGAGAGAGAGAGAGAGAGAGAGAGAGAGAGAGAGAGAGAGAGAGAGAGAGAGAGAGTTGATGAGCTCCCAACGATGATCTTCTGAGGTTAAACGATTCATGGCCGTTGAGAAAATCATGACAAGCGACATGAGAGAGCGAAAAGCACGGCGATCGCTAGTCCGATTCGTCAAGTGGACACACACACACACACAGAAACACACAAAAACCCAGCGAAAGAGAAAGAGAGAAAGACACACACACACACACACACACACACACACACACAGAGTTGCTGACCTCCCGAAGATGACCTCCTGAGGTTAAACGATTCTTGGCCGTTGAAAACCATGACAAGGGACATGAGAGCGAAAAGCACGGCTATTGCGACTCCTATTCGTCGAGTAGATAGCGTCCATAACACTCTTACCACAACTCCAGCTCTGCTGTTCTGATGGTGCAATCCATATCCATGCCACACGCTCCTCATCTGTTGAGCTGTCCCCCCTCTTGGCGACGTCGGCGTCTGTTTTCCCGACATCGAATTTCGGAAAAACCTTGACGTTTGATACCGTGGAGACGCCACTGCACCCCCCATCATCCCCGACGGGGAGTGGGTAGTACTACCTGTCCTCGGAGAGGAGGCTGGTGTGAGCGTTGCCACTCCCCCTAGTGAATGCCTTGGGCTTGAGGAGGAGGAGGAGCTCCCTTGAGACGGGCTCGCTGCCAAATGGCCGCTGTGCCTTGGCGACACGGGGACAGATTGCCGGGCTTGAATCGCTCGAAAAGCACCTGCGGCTTTGGCCTCAGCTGCACTCGCTGGCAAGTCATCCTCTGCCCATGAGCGCCGACTCAACTCACGCAGTGTCATCCGCTCAACACCACCAGATTGCATGTCCCTTCCACTCTTCGGCATGGTAATCGAAACAATTTTTTATTTTTTTTTATTTTTTTTAAAAGGAGAAATCGAAAATAATGGGAGTGCCAACAGCTGTGAGAGAAACAACAGGGCTTTTCAAATTACTGGAAAAAACTTCGTCGAAAGTTCGCCTCCTTCCTCTCAGTCCCCCCTTGGGCCGGACCCTTCTTCTCTCTTCCTCCTTCCTTCTTTGTATCCTGCTTGTTCTTCCTCTCCTCCTCCTCCTCCTACTCTTCTTCTTACCCTACTTCCTCTCCTTCCTCCCCTTCTCCTCCCTCCTCTCCTTCTTCCTTCACCTCCTACATCTACCTTTCCTCCCTCCTCCTCCTCTTCCTCCTTCCTCCTCCTCGTCTTCTCCTACTACCTTCTCCTCCTCCTTCCTTCCCCTCCTACAACTCCTTTTCCTCGTTCATCTCCACTTCCTCCTTTTTTCCTCCTCCCCGTCCTTCTTCCTTCCCCTCCTACATTTCCTCTCCCTCCTCCTCCCTCCTCCCTTCCTCCACCTCCTTCGTCTTCCTTCCGTCTCCTCCTCCTCCTCCTCCTCCTCCCCTCCTCCCTCCTCCCTACGTCCTCCTCCTCCTTCCACTACCACTACATTAACTACTCCCACTACTACCACCACTAGTATTTCCTCCTCCTACCCCTCTTCCTTCCTCCTCCTTACCCCTCTTCCTTCCTCCTCCTACCCCTCTTCCTTCCTCCTCCTACCCCTCTTCCTTCCTCCTCCTTTCCTCCTATACTCTACCCGGCTGGCTCTACCTGTGTTACCCCAATCTGGCTCGCCTTTCGTACGAGAATCCTCATCTGTATGTACACACCAACTTCACACCGACCGTAATTTACCTAAATGACGTACAGCGGCCTCGAACGCACGCACTATGCATTCTCATTCCGAAAAACGCTCGACGTGTCGTCATTCAAGCGCACACGCGATGCCCACCTCCTCTCAGCCTGCTCCCATGAAAGCCGGACTTGGTTTAACTTATAACTTACCGTCGAATAGAAAACAGTAAAGACGTAACAACAACTACTGTACTGTCAACGTTTCGGAGGGGGAGGGGGAGCGGGAGGGGGAGAGGAAAGTACGGTCAACTCGCAACAGGTACTATAAATCACAAAGTGACTTCGATTTTTGTTCCCTTATTTATAAAAAAAAAATGTGTGTGATTTTCCAAATACAACGCTCTGCCTAAAGCCCGCGCCGAAGTGCTCATGTTCAGAACGAGGAAAAAATTTATGCGTCCGAGAGATTTCTCAAAATCTTCAGATCGTCTTAAAAAAAAAAAAAAAAAAACTCCTAATCCCAACCTCCCTAGGGGAACTCCACTCCATACAATCTGTGAGAAAGCGCCCTAGTCACCGCCGGCATTCCACGTAATGGTAGTAAATTAGTAATTCCACCCCCTTCTCCTCCCGCTCGTCCTACTGCCCCTCTCCCTCCTCCCCCTCTCTCTTCCCCTCCTCCATCTACTCTATTTGAGGACAGCATCTTCATAATAGATGATAATTAATATATACGTACTCCAACATGCATATATATATCTATATATCTATATAGTCAAACTGATCTGCCCGGTAAACCGTAGGCAGAGAGGGAGAAGAGGACAACAAACGAGGTTTGCTGTGACAAACTGTTTTTTTTTTTTTTTTTTGTGTGTGTGTGACAAACTGTTTCGTCGGAGTTTCACCGACTCATCAGGAGGCCATATATCGTCAAATACAACTGCCCTGTAAACCGTAGGCAGAGAGCAGAGAGGGAGGGAGATCCCAAAAAAAAAAAAAAAAAAAAAAAAAAAAAAAAAAAACAGAGGGAGGGAGAAGAGGACAATAAACGAGGGGCTTTGACAAACTGTTTCGTCGGAGTTTCACCGACTCATCAACAGCCTTATTGGTAGATAGATAGATAGATAGATAGATAGATAGATAGATAGATAGATATAGATAGATAAACGGGCACTACGTAGCTAATGATTGTGTATCTCGAGCGGATCTGGACGGCAGTACGGTCTTTGAAAGCCCTGTCCTCCGTAGACACCACCACCTTCCCCCCTCACACACACACCCACAAAAAAAAAAAAAAAGATTTTCCTACTCAACGGTCAGGAATTGAGAATTCGCCCCAGCATCGGATGAACTGTTATCTTTGAAATGAAATTGGAACGGTTCAAAAAAAAAAAAAAAAAAAAAGAAAAAAAAAAAAAAAAGGAGTTAATACTGACACACGGACTTTAAACTTGGAGAATCTGACGGCAATTATGACTAGATTCACTCCACAAACAAAATCCTCGTGTGACTCTGGAATATCCCGAACTGAATCTCCCCGCCTACGTAGGACACTGGACATTAAACGTTTCGAGAATCTGACGGCAATTATGACTAGATTCATCCCACAGACAAAATCCTAATGTGACTCTGGAATATCCCGAACTGAATCTCCCCGCCTACATAAGACAACGGACTTTAAAAGTTTCAAGAATCTGACCGCAATTATGACTAGATTCATCCCACAGACAAAATCCTAGTGTGACTCTGGAATATCCCGAACTGAATCTCCCCGCCTACATACGACAACGGACTTTAGAAGTTTCGAGAATCTGACCGCGACTAGATTCGCTCCACGTACCAGACAATCCTCACAAAACTCCCTGCCGACGAACGACAAGTCCCCTTTCATCATCAAGTAGAGTACATTACGCTCGACCTGTCTCCTTCTAGCGTAGCGCGCCCCCGCCCCCGCCCCCGCCCCCGCCCTCTCTCTCCTTCTCCCCATCAACTTCTTCCTTCCATTCTCGATTCCACCTCCTCTATCTCAGGGCGTACTCACACTAGCTCCATCTTATAATGCATCTGACCCCATTCATGGCCAGACCTGGATGCATCTGACCGCAATTACGTCCATATAATTACGTTAAAAATTCTGCCATTAGTACCCTCTCTCACACTACCGCCCTGCTATATTCCCACACATCTGGGTGCGGTTATGCTCATCGCCCCAACCGCCCAACAACTGGTCGGCATCGGACTTCTCACCCGCAGCAGCATGTCCACCACAAGTATTCTTTTTTTTTTTGCCAATACGTATACACGTACGTATATATATATATGTATACGCATATATAAAGCCGAGGAGAACTGCGCAGTCAACCGCAAGCAGAAAGTGAGAAAAGGAG